ATGGTTAAGAGTGAACCTATAGAGGAGAATGAAAGAGATGAGGACATAGAGAAATCTTACTCTTCAAAGGAAGAAACAGAAGATGATAGTGATATCTATGAGGCTTTTGATGAATTATATGAGAAGTGCCTTAAGTTGAAAAGGGTGAATCATTCTGCCTTTAAGAAATTACATAAGTTTGTGTTAGAAAATGAGAGCCTTGCAGTGAAATTTGAGGAGTCTACTAAAAGATTGAATGAGTTAAGGGTTGAGAAAGAGTCCTTAGATATTAAGGTTAAATCTATTACAAATGATCCCGATAAATCAAGTGGCCATGCTCAATATTTTTCTATTGATTCTAAGAAGATTGAAAATATGTTAGGATTAAATAAACCAAATTCAAATGTTGCTAAATCTTCTAAAATCAAGTTTGTACCTGCCTCTGTCAAGTCTAACAATGTAGGAGCTTCAAAATGGAAATCTTCTGTGAAACATAGGTTTCCTCAACCAAAAGTTCAAAACATGAGATTCGGAAATATTCCTAGATTCATTACTAATTGTCACAATTGTGGTGAATTAGGTCACATTAGACGCAAGTGTCGTAAGGTCTTGATTATGAACACCAAACAAGTTTTAACTACTCAAGTTAGATTCTTGACTAATCAAGTAAGTTACTTGACGAAATCGATGACTCGATTGACTAATATTACATCTTTTTCTATGAAGATTTGGGTAAAAAAGAGTGAACTCTCTAGTCAAAGTTATATTGTGAATTGTAACGTTCGTGTTGTTCTTAAAGGTAAAAGTACTTGTGTTTCTCATTGAGTAGGTATTTAGGTGCATGCATCTACATTGTTCATGAAATCTACACATTCATGCATGCACTCCATTTTTTATCTCATTATTTTTTTTATTATTCTTTTTTAAGTGAAAAATTTTTAAAAATTGAAAAAGGAAAAAGGATTTCTAATGATTATTACATTTTTAAAGTGATATCATTGGACAAGATATTTTGTGATTACTAGTAAAATCAATGAATAGTAAATAAAGTTTTCACTAATTTTATTTAGAACTTATTTGGAGTACCTGGTATATATTTGTTCATGAATTATCCGTACTGCACAAATTAAGCTCTTATGTATGAGTTATGACCGCATGTGTGAGATTTGGAATGATAGTCATTGGTGTGGTGAGGTGACTTTAAATATGAATTGATCTTTAATTAGTTGATCTAAACTCTTGTACATTTCACTAAAAGAAAAATATTATTGAGCTTCAAAAGAGTTGACTTACTTGTTGAGACATCTTATAATTTCAAAAGAGTTGACTTACTTGTTGAGACATCTTATAATTTTCTTCGTAACCTTTATGCTTGAGTGATTAAGTATGGTGGGTCTTAAAACTTGGTATTCTATAGTCATCTAACTTGGAAGTTATCGACCTAAAACTCGTTATAGGAGTCATTTAGCAAAGTTAATGAAGAAAAGTCTGCATATAAAATTGAAAAAAATTATTTACGTACACAGATATGGGAATAAAAAAGTTATACAATAAAAAATTTAATATGAGTTTCTTATTTAAAGGTCATAGTAGCACTGTGTTCGACTTTCATAATTTGAGGAATATATGAATTTCTTTGTATGTCCTTTTTCCCAAATTTAAGATTTTGAGTCTTGCTTATAGGAGATTAGTGACGCTTTTCACATAAGTTGTATATACAATTTACTCCATATATATTTAAAATGAGTTATGTGGGAAAAGTTAACTATTTATGAATTATGAATTATGCCTGTATAAGTAAACAAATAATTGTTCATATGATTTAAGCTTTCCAGAATTGATGTTATATTTTAAAATCTATGAAAAATAGTTATCTCAAAAAGAAAGAAAAAATTATTCTCCCATCACGTAAAATTTTTATTTTTATTTTTTGCATAAGTTTGCACATTCGTTACTCATTCATCTCTATTTATTCATGAATCTGTTACTTGTTTCCCTTTCTTATTCATGACAAAAAGGAGAAATAATATTTATTTCATGGGAGTTGGGTAATATATGAGTTAGGGGGAGAAGTTGTTGTTAGATATTTGACTTAGGGAAAGTAATAGTTTTTTTTTTAAACTTAGGGGGAGTCATATTTTATTTTATTTTATTGATTTTTGGATGGAATTTTAATATTGATATTATCTTGAGTGTTTTGTTAGTATTAATATTGATATTCTATATTTCAATTAAAAGTTATTGATGCTCGTAGGATTTCATGCTTTGGTGTTACACATGTTTTACTTACATTGTTTTATATGACTTAATTATATGTTTTAATTTTCAGTTTTCTCTTATTTTTTTACACGTGGTATTGTTGGTTTCACGTGTGTTAAGAAAATAGGTATGCTAAGATGTTGAGTTAAAGTTTGAGAATTGAGTATTTGGGTTAATAGTGTTAGGTTGTTGATTTTAATTTTGAAATGAATAATTTTGTCACAAAATGTCAAAGGGGAAGTTTGTTATATTCAAATTGTAATGATTATAACCATATTCAATTAAGTTGTAATTAAAATCAAAAGAGTTGAAATTGGTAGTATAGGTCTTGAAGGAGTCAAAGATGGACCAATGAGAAAAATTAGCCACAGTACCACTTGTTAACCGCGTAGGAGGCGCTTGAGCATTATTTTCAATGAGGTTTTCGCTCGCTAGGCGTGACCCTAGCGCTCGAGCGATGGATTTATCACTTGCTAGCCACGAGGGAGTCTGCGTGAGCAGCGTACTTAGAGCCAAACCCTATTCACAATTTTAAACAAATTTTGGAGTTCTATTCAACCTCACTACCTATTGTATATATCCAAGTATATGTCCATCTCAAAATATGTTGAATCAATTTTTTATATTAGAGATCATATTATTGAAAATCAATTACACATTCAAAGATCTCTTGATTCAATCACAAGATCAAAGCTTCATATTCCCTTTTTCCAAACATCTTACATGATTAGTTGAGCATTAATTTCAGGCAAGAGAACATTCTATTAAAGATCAAACATTATTCCGTAAATCTCTTGCTTCAACCAACAGTTCAAAAAACAAAAATCAATAGATTAAACACCAAAAACCCTTACGTTCTCCAATAAGCCTTCAGAGTTCTAAAGTTGGGAACAAACAACTTGGAGTTCCAGTTGTTTCGGAACAAGAGGTTCGTATTTGGTGATCCACGCGGAGGGAAAAGGACTATATAGTTCTGGAAAGTACATGTTGCAAAATCGAAGAGGTTTTTTGATCATTTACATGTTGAGTGGTCAGAGTCTACTAATGTTTAGTTTTATCTTGACCAATTGCAAGTTATTTTTTTTGGTGGATCTTTTTGACAAAGTTTGCTCGGAGGTTTTTTATTTTAAGGTATTTTCCTTCGTAGCCAAATATTGTGTTATTTACTTTATTGGTTTTGATCAATATTGCTTGATTGTTTATTAGGGTTTAATTGTCTGAAATAATTGTTGCTTTTTATTGATTCCGCATTATACATCTCTAGATATAGTTGGGTCTAAACATCGATTATTTCACATCTAATTACAACTATTACTTCGACAAAATTAAATTATATTAAATGAAAAAAGAAAACTAAAATCTTAAACATAAACCTAGTTCTATCCAATAATGCTTGTCGCTAATAATTTTAAAAAACACACGCTTCTCTCATTCTTCGAATTATGATTTTTCGAATTATGATCTCATCTTAAAGAATTTGAATGATAATTATTTGTATATTGCAAAACATGATGATATATTAAAGGTTGAACTTTTAAGATGACTTTGCATATTCTTAAATCTGCATGCGCTAATTTTTTGAAACTTTTCCTCTCTTTTTATTAATGTCTATACCTTGAATTTAACATGCTCCATTAATTTATTATTAACGTAGTCTATATTTTACCTCTATACTATTTACACTAAGGATAATTAAGTAAAAAAATAATTTTTATAGTAATAATTCCTATTAGAACATCTCCAAAAAACTCTCTAAATACAACTAGCTCTTCATTTTAGAGAGTCCATGCTAATAATAAGTTCTAAAAAATAATATTTTGACTTCTTAAAATTTAGTTAAAATGGGGAACGAGTTATAACAATTGCATCCAATAAGCAACATATTTTAACAATATACTTCTTAAATTATTATAATCACATTTAGCCTTCGATTTAGATAAAAATAAGATTTTTAATAATTTTTGATAAAATGTGATAGAATGTGTGGTTGAAAAATTGTGTCCCTTATTGTCTTTGACTTTAATTTAATCTACTTTTTCTAGCTGAACCGAATATGAGTTTAAAACTAATTGATTGATATATAAAAAAAATGTCAAATAAAAGATGAGAAAAAATAATTAATATTTCTTGAAAAAAGCTAATTGAACATTCAAAATAGAGAATATCGTTGAAGTGTATAAAAAATTTTACTATCTAAACTTAAAGATATTTTGTAATACTAATAAAATACTTTTTATAAATGGAGAGTCATACGAAGATACTCTTAATTTATTACTTGCTCGTAGGAATAGAATTAGTTTCAACTGTTTAATTTATGTACTGTTAAAAAGTAGGTAATGAAAATTTATATCAACCAGATAGGATTAAACTAAAGCAACAAGACCATTTATTACCAATTTGAAGTCCGTATGTGGGTAAAGCCACGTGGGCATCCAAAACCTTGACACTGGGGTAACTCGTTCATTTCATTCTAAACCCAGTGTGGAGCATTCCCTGAGTCTATATATTTGCGCGTACAACTGTGAATTTTGGACTCAGAATTCCAGAAAAAAGCTCACAGTTTCATGTATGGCTACTCAGAGAAAATGTAGATTTCTTTAACAAATTTGCAACCTGGGTTTTTGAAGAAATAGTTTTACACTTCATGCATTGTTGAAATTATCTAATTATAATTTAAAATTTTGCATTTCAGTTTGGGAATTAACTTCTTTTTTGGTTGGCTGAATTGCATGGTTGAACAGCTGATGGAGTCTTTTGAAACAATGCCTTCTAGCGGAAGCAATACGAGTGCGATGAACATGGATAATTCGTCAAAAGGAGAGTATGGGCGCCTCGCTAAACGATCTCGCTCTTCACAAAACCCACCACCATCTCTTGTCAACCAGGTTAGGTTTTTCTCTTTTTGTTGGTTTTGTGAAGTTTCTTAATCTGTTTTTTCATCGTTGATTTTGGTTGTTTAGTTGATGCTAATATCTGTTTAGCTTCTAACTGAGCTTTACATTTGATAGATTGCTTTCATTTTGTGTTCTTCAAAGAAATGAATAGAGTAAAAAGAAAGAGATCTTCTAAGAAGTATTGTTTTAAAAATTGGCTTCTGCACAGCGGAGGCGGCTCAATCAACTTGAGTAGTCTTAGACAAGATCGTTGAGGAAGTACTCTTTTGTAAAATAATAATGACAAATTAATGGACTAAATGATCGTCATCAATGATCCTCCGTCAGAGATGACCGAGGTCCATTGATGACATTGTCGGCATACACCGATAGTGCTTCGGTTGTTGATCGCTGACAAAAAGCTCTGTAAATGACGATTGAAGTGCATTGGTGATAACCAATGAGTGATTTTATCAGTAACCACCGAGTTAAATATGAAAACTTATTGTTTCTACATTTTGGGTAAGCAGTGGGAATGAAGGTTATGCGTACACGTGTATACTTGAATTTATTTCAAATTCACAAGCGTTACACTTAGTATGTCTTGTATTAAATAAGTGGTGCGGTCGAGTTGTGAGCATGTAACATGGCAACAAGTAGTGCAGTAAACGACAATTATAAAGAATGATCAAAGATAGCCTTGAATTAGTTGGCTTATATCTCTATTTATATTGAAAATTTTGAGAATTTTTCCTAGATAGTGCTTCGGTCGTTGATCACTAATGATAACCACCTAGATTTATTGGCAACCACCGAGTTGAATATGTGAACTTTTAGTTTCCGCATTTTAGGTAAGCGATGGGGATGAGGTGTATGAGCACACGTATGCTTTAATTTATTATAAATTCACAAGTGTTACACCTTCAATGTGTGCGGTTCATGTTAGCGGTTGAGTTGAGAGCATCCATAGTGACAAGAAGTGTGTGCAGTTAACTACAATTGTACAGGAAGATCAAAGATTTCCTTGAATTAGCAGGCTTGAATTTTTGTTTTAATAAAATCTGTTCGGATTACTATATTTTCCTTGTATTAAATTTTTGGTTTTGCTGTGATAGTGGAACTCTGGGGATGATGAATCTCCAATGCCATCATCACAGTACAATCCACTGGATGAGCCTAGTCCATTGGGCTTGCGGTTGAACAAGACTCAATCTTTATTAGAATTGATCGAGAAGAGGCTCTCCGAGGAAAATAGTGCTTCTCTTACTGTGAAATTTAGTAAAAATCGTAACTCGCGAACCCAAAAGGATGCAAAGAGATCCACCACTTCAGGTGCAAATGACAAGTTGAAGGCTTCAAATTTTCCGGCTTCACTATTGAGGATTGGCAGTTGGCAGGTATCATCTTTTGACATCATATTATAGCGGAGGATCATATTTCAAGAAATGCATTTTAATAACTAGTTTGGGGTGATTAGTATAAAATCGATTTTAGGGAACAAATCAACTTGATTGAAACAAAGTGTTGTGACAATAACATTTTTTTCCCTCAAAATCGGACTCCTTAACTAAGAACCTAGTGTTTCCAGCGGTCAAGGAAAAGGTTCATGCAGTGAGTTGACCATACTTGATTAAGTGCATGATTCTCGGTGCTTATAAATACTTATAAATTGGTTAAACTCTATTTTCACGCACACATTTCGTAAGATTCTTATTTTAAGCATATCTTTCACAAACATGTACTATTCCTAACTAATTGACCTCTTTAAAGAAAATGTGTTGTCTTTCACAACTGTTGCATTTAGATGAGTTATACCTGTAGTATGTTAATAATACAATATCTTTGACAGTATGTGTCAAGTTTTCAAAATGGACTGGTGGTGAAGTGTTACTTTGCAAAGCAAAGACTTGTGTGGGAAGTTCTCGAAGGTGGACTCAAGAGTAAAATTGAAATTATGTGGTCTGATATAATAGCTCTGAAGGCAAATTATGGTGATAATGGCCCTGGCACATTAACTATAGTGGTAATTGTTACATCGCTTTTCATTCTATGGATAAAATATATTAATCCAACTGCCATTTATAGGTGGCTTCTTGTTTTAATCCATTAATGAAAGAATTACTTTTAATCTTGCTCTGTTGCAGTTGGCTAGGCCACCCATCTTCTTCAAAGAGAACAATCCACAACCCAGAAAACATACTATTTGGAAGCGAACTCCTGACTTCACTGGTGGGCAAGCTAGCATAAATAGGTAAGCAGTTAAACAGTGTTGTCTTTTCGATCAATTGAAATTTCATGTTAAAACCATTGGGTTTGGACTATATTCCTTACGATTACTTACATCGAATAATTTTGAGATCTCAAAAACTTTGGTCCTAGTTCTTGTGTGATCCAACCTTTGATGTTGTTTGAACAGGAAGCATTTTTTACAATGCCCTCCAGGCGTGTTAAACAAGCACTATCAAAAGTTGATCCAGTGTGATAGGCATCTTTATATTTTGAGCCAACAGCTCGAGATAATTATAGACTCGCCATATTTTGAAGCATGTGCTTCTATTAATCCAGAAGAATGCAGAGGTCGTGAATTTGATCAAGTGGCTGCTGCTCAAGGATATTCTCCCTCTAGCTTCCAGGATGTAGAATTAGCAGTTATCACACAATCACCTCCTTTAATTTTTGGACAAAATCCAAATCGTGTGACCGTTGAAAACATGTCTACTGAAACTTTGTCCTCCAGCTCAGGTACAATATTGCTCGTCTTTATTGTGAATACAATATCTCCAGTGTACCTGCCTATCGAGTAATTACTATTAAAAAAAATTCTAAGCACACATTACGAGTACCAATTTACTTATCAGCTTGTCTCCATTTTTGATCTTGCAAAATTATTTAGCTGTAGATGTAATTTTGAATTCATTTAAAAAAAAAAATTGACTAATCACATTGTCTAATGTTACTAGTGATGGATACGAGTGCAACTGAATGTAATGGAAATAGTGAAGGGCATGGCTATTTGGAGCAAAGAAGTTGGGAACAACTGAAGGTGCCAGACCTCCATCCATCTGTGAGGATGAGTGATCTAGAAAACAACATTGGAAGTTGTATATCTGAACAAGTAACTTCTGGATGTGTACCTTCAGACAAGACACCCGAATTTTGGGATGTAATGGAAAACATTAAACGAGATTTACTTGGTGACACACAAAGTACGACCGTTCTGGATGAGAAATCTCTATTGAAAAAGGTCGATTCTCTCTCCTTCCTCCTGCGAGATCCTGCCACAAGTTCCAGTGCGAAAGTAGAAAAAGGAAATTACGATGAAGGTGCTAATTGTGGAATAAATGTTGCGCCCAATCTCTCAAATGACCCGCTGATGCGTGAAAAGACAAGTAACGATATATTTGTCTCTCAAGAAAACTGTATGTCTGGTTTTGGTTGCATGCCGATGGCACCTTCCATGTTGAGGATAGATTCATTCGCAGATTTTTAGCTTCATCTGCTGTGTATTGCCTCTCTTTCAGAATTTAAGTGATATCTCCCGAGTTAGATAAATGTTCATTTTACTTTTGCTTAGTATAGAATAGCAGCTGATATGATTTAAGCTCTAGATATTATGAATACATATTTTTAATATTATTGGGATTTTGAAATTGGTTTGATGAAGGATCTTGATAATATTTTCTTGCAAGAAAGTTTCTCATCCATTCTTGTTGTATTAGTATGTTTCAAGCTGAAGTCTCTTTTGTAATATTTGATCTTATGAAATTTTCTGCAGCTATGTTTTGTAGTATATTTTCAATTTGTACCTAATTTTTCTATATATCTACATAGTTATCTGTGTTTGTTGGATATAAAAATTAACTTCGAAAAGGTTGTTTGGCAAATAAGTGACTTCAAAATGCTTTAAAATGCGGCTAAAAAATAGGATTTCTACTTTCTTTGCTACATCTAATTTCATTATTTAAAAGTGAATAGAAATAACGGATTAATGACTCGATGTAAGAAAAAAAATTAAAATATTGAAATTCTTGTCCAACTCGACAAAGTTGCATGTAGATTACCACATATTACTTATAGCTAAGCCTTCATGCAAACTCTATTAAAATGTCCCAAACGCTAGAAATGTTGTTTATATGACAAAAATTTTGAAGGTTTTTCTTGGTCACATCATTATTCTCTTACTATAGACAAACCTAATATTAAAATTGAAATGAATTGCAAGTTGAGTGCACTACTTAGACTTGTAATTCTATCTCAAAATGTCATCATCATTAACAAACGTTGTTCAAATTTTTACATGTTGATTTATATTTTTATCTTTATTTGATATCAATTTTATCTCAAAACTTGCACATCAGGTGGATAATATCCTCACTTTAAGTAAATTTAATTGTAGGAATATTCAAATATAGTTTGACGAAGCTTTTTAGATTATTAGCTGGTAGGTCCCATAAATACACTGATAAAAGTAGATAAAATTGTGAATCAATAAATTCTTGATTTGGTAGCTAAAAAAGTTTAAAATCTAAGTTCAAATTAACAATTAAGTTTAACAATACATTTCATGACATCCACTATACTTTTATCAACTTTTGGACTATATATTTCTTCCAGTTTTATTAAAATCTACTAAAAATTGATTTTTAATAAAATTAAAGAGAAAATGTCTAAATTATAATATAAATAACATCACTGAAATTACCTTAATTATAATTAATTTCAGTTTGTACATAAGATGTGCTGCATGACTTTTGTCATTTCATTCAACAACCATTCGCTGCTTCTGTCAGCACACACAACACATGTTAATTGAGCCCCTGTTTGATGGTCATTATTTTAAAAATTTTTTTTAAAATAATAATTTTTTAGAGAATGTGTGATTAAAATGTGGGGAAATTTTTTTGGTTTACATATAAAATATTTTACCTTGTGAATGTGATTGAAAATGAATATGAAAAATAAATTTTTTGTTTTAAAAGAAGTCAAACAGGAGCTGGGTGTTATATCTTAATCTAACGAGGGACACTATGAATTCCTCACCAAAATCCAATCCAAAGATGTAGCGACCGAGAAATTTTAAATAATATAAAAATTATTTTTCTTGAAAAATGCGTCGCTAAGTTTTAACCCCAAAT